TATATATATATATATATATATACATACATCTTTTCATGAAAATAAGAGAGAAAGAACATTGTCATTTGTTATAAGAAAATGATGGCAAAATGTAGTGAAGATGTTGGTGATATTATCAACCTTCTCTTCTTATCTCTCCTTGTTCACTTTTCTTGTCTAAGTTGTTCACTATTATGGCTAAAAATTAAACATATCTTCACTCTCTCTCCCTCTTCATTTATTTCTTTATAATTTTGAGATACTTCAACAAAATAGAACCATCATCTTTTATAGACCTTGAAGATGGTAGAAAGCAAGTTTGAATTTACAGGATAGGAGATGGTAGATATCACTATATTAATGCCAAAATAAATAATGGTATGTAAGAACTTGATGGAGCGTTAGTAGAAGGTAGCAGTTAGGTAAGAAATAATTGATTTTATATTTCAATAATCTCCTGCTTATAGATAAAAATTTTAATATGAATGTTTAGTAATCAATGCAAGAAAGCCTCCTTATACAACACTTTTTATTTTATCATTCATGAAGGTTAATAGAAGTCTTACAAAGTCTTAAATTTCGAGTAGAAATTACTTTTATGAGCATATCAATTAGATCTTTTGTTCTTTTGATATGTGTAAAAGTAGATAAAATAATATCACTTCTTTGTGTATAAATTATTCAAAAGAGGATAGCATTCTTCAAAATTTCTTACAATGTCATTAAAAAATTTAATTTATCAATGCACCAATAATTTTATGCTTATACTGCCCATTTGAGATGTTTATAGCAGTGATCGCACTTGTGCACTCTCACTACCAAGATTTTTTTTAATATATCATTACCAAGATGTTAATTGCACAATGTAACTCAAATTTAAGCAAGTTGGTTGGGTAATGTCATGTATAACTTTAACATAATCATTTTTTCTTTTAGACAATGTAATCTACATTACAACTCCAAGATTATTTTAAAGAAAATTTTAAATAAAGATTGAAAAAAGGCTTATAGATATTTGGTTAATTATGCATGTTCATTACACGATGTAATAAACTTTCAAGAAATTTCTCATTGTTGGCATTTATGAATAAACATAAGCCTTTTTAAGCTGAAATTATACCTTTTAAATGTCACA